TAAAAGGTCTGACAAATGGTGACTTTCCTTTGCTTTTGTTCATTAGTGAGGTCCTTCAGGACCGTTTTTACAGACATCTTTCTCATACAAGATTTTCAGTTAAGACTTTTCTGTTTCTCTGTTGATGAACAATTTGATGATTTGTAATATTTTTGTCAGTTTTATTTGTTACTGACATCCTGACCTCTCTTTATCAGGGACACTTTCCCCTCAGAGAAGTATTTAATCCATTTGTACACGGCTGTTTTCTTCATGGCATTGTCCTCATAAACTTAGACTAATAGCTCCCTTATTTCACTTCCTTTCTTGCCAGGTTTAACAAGAAATTTAATGTTTGTTCATTGTTCTGTTTCAAGCTTCAACATTCTTGCAGTGGCATATATATATACACAAGAACAATAATGAACACCATTCAGCAAAATACCACCACACATTAACACAAACACAGCTGTGAAACACTGATATACCAAGGTTATAAAACCTTACCAAGTGTTTGACAGTGCTGCCAATGTAAGCACAGTGGCAAGTTTGTGAACTTCATTGTCAGACCTCATAAATTCTAGGCTGGCCATTATTCTGTTTGAGAAGACTGAGAATGGTTCCCTGCTCCCTTTTGGCTCATAAGGTCTCATTTGAGATGTCTGCACTTAGTCTAATGGGTTTTCTTTTGTAGGTTATCTGATGATTTTACCTGACGTTTCAGAGAAGTTCTTTGTTGTTAAACTTTGGCCAGTCTGATGCCTCTATGTTCTGGAGATTGCCTCTTGACAATGAATCTTCCAAGAGTTCATTGCACTTTTTTTTTTTTTTGAGACGGAGTCTCACTTTGTTGCCCTTGGTAGAGTGCTGTGGCATCACAGCTCACAGCAGCCTCAGACTCTTGGGCTCAAGTGAGTCTCTTGCCTCCACCTCCTAGGTGCTTGGGACTACAGGCGCCTGCCACAGCACCTAGCTATCCATTGCACTTCTTGTATGTGGATGTCAGATTTCTAGTAAGAGATGGGAGATTGTCAAGTATTCCTTCAAATAGGTTTCCCAGTTCTTGTATATTTTCTTCTTCACCCTCAGGGATTCCTATGTTCTTAATGCTAGGCCTCTTTACCTAATCTCAGATTTCTCATTCCTCTTATTTCTCTGTTCTTTCTCTTTGATGTGTTTAATTCAAAAGTGTTAATCTTCTAGCTCTGAGATTCTTTCTTCTCCCTGATAAAGCCTATTCTTAAGGCTTTCCCAACATGTTTTATATTTCCTTGAATGAATTTTTCATTTCCAGAAGCTCTTCTTGATTTTTTTTTTAATATTTTGTTTTCTTTAGTGAATTTTTCATTCATTTTCTGCATTCTTTTTGTGGCTTTCTTGTATTGGGTATCTATTTTCTCTTTTATTTCATTGAGCTTCCTTGTAATCCTTATTTGCAAAGCTTTGTCAATTATTTCAGTATTCTCATTTTAGTTGGTTTTTGTTGGTATGGAGTTATTGTTTTCTTTTGTGTGTGTCCTTTCACTTTTCATGTATTTGGAGATCTTTTGCTGATTTCTTGTTTTTTGATTTTTGTTTGGTTAATGGCACACCCAGTTTAATCCCTGAGATCAGTGGATGGTGTTTGTGGGTAAGAGCAACCTGTATAATTGAGTTAGTAAATGCTGTAAAGGGCAGGTAAATTGACCTGTCAGTAGGTGGTGCTTTCTGGATGGAACAAGCTACAGTGTTGTTTTAGGGTTCTGTGACTAGCCCTAGTTGCTGGGGGAAGCACTTGATTGCCCCAGGTGGTGGGTGGGACCCTGGAACTTGAGGTGAAACCTTATTCTCTTCTACAGCAGAGGTGGGTGTGAGGGTGCACCTGGGCAGGGGTGGGTGGGTGGTGTAAATTTGCCCTCAGGCTCTATAAAAGCTGATGATGTATCTGTTTCAACAGGGGTCAAAGATCTGCTCCCAGCTTCTGCAGATCCACCAAGGGAGGGGCTATAGTGGCCTTGCCCAACGAGAAAGCCTGCTTATGGAGGTGTGGCCATTTGCAATACATAATCTAGAAGTCTAAAGCAGTCTGTGGTCCTCCTTTTGGGGAGAGCGGTGCCCCACAATCACACGACAGCTAAAATCCACACTGCACTCTCCTCCATATCTGCCCACATAGGCACCCTCACCTCTTGAGACCAATTTATAAATTTCCCCTCCTTGTCCCGTGAAATGCAGTTGACTTGAGGGTAGATCTTCCCTGTCCCTGGGTCCCCAGAGATCAATCCCTGACTGTGCCAGGGAGATGCACACTGGTTCCAAATTGCCCAAGAGGTGCCTAAGCAGGTTCAGCATCCCTTCTCCTTGGGACATACTGCGTTCTGGTAGAGTACAGGCATGCAGCACCAGGGAGAGCTTGTGGGCACTTCTTAGTGTACTGCAGGACCCCTGAAGGAAAGGTCTGGTGCGATGGATGCCCCAGTAGAGGGGAGAGACAGTTACTGTGAGCCCTGGCAGGGAGGGGAATGAGGGGAGAGCTAGCATTCTGGCAGTCTCTGTCTCTCTCTCAGAAGGCAGCCCACTCAGAATGTCCAGGCTCTGGGGTCAGACAGATTCCCTGGAAGCTATCAGACCCCTGTGGCTCCCGTAGTGTGGGTCAAATCTGGGGAGATGTTTGGAACAAGTGAGATGAACACTGGGAGGCTAAACCTGTCTCAGGAGGGCGACAGAGCGCAGTGGGTAGAGAACAAACATGTGCTACTTGCCTTCTTGGCTCAGGTCTGCAGTGTTGGGAAGTGACTTCAAAGGCACTAGCAGCCTGCTGCTTCATACTCAAGAAGTTCTCCATTCACTGGCAGCGGCAGCTTTTGGGCTTGTGAGGATAGAGGCTGTCTCCAGCAGCTGAGGAGCCCACCAGCTGCCAGAGATGTAGGGGCGGGAGAATAAACCACTCCGTCTACCCTGCTTACTAGACTCCAGGCTGCTCTGAGGTTGCTGTCTGCTGAGATTCTGCTCCTCTTTCCCATCTGAGCCTCCTAGGAGACCTCTTTGGAACCCACTTTCTGGGAGGCTGAGGCTTAGTTTTGCTGGAGAGATGACGTATTATGTGGCTTCAAAGTTGTCTTAATCCTGCAGTGAGAGAACAGGTTCATCCATCCACTCCTTTACATCATTTTCATTACTCCTAGGAGCATAAATTCCCTCCCTTTCGGCCTGTAGCCAAAGGAAGCCTACAGCCAGTGTCAACATCTCTTGGAGGAAGTTTCTGGAAGTTGCATATGAAACATGCAACTAAATTTATATTTCAGTTTGGTCCTATTACCACTAACTTAAAACTTGGTATCTGACTGAGGTCTGCCTACAGAGAACACTACATATTGTCCTTTCCACATGACGCTGTCTCTCAACACCTCTCAGAGTGCCTCTTGAGCTGGTGCCCTTCTGTGTCTGTTCCGAGGCACCAACGCCCTTTGCAGCCCCGCGTTACCTTCTGTGTAAGTGGGTTTTCTGACTTTGTGGTAGGTGCTCTTCGTGAAGGGTGTCCCCATACAGAGCATCCCACTATCTACCCTGCAGACACCTTTCTTCTCGTAGTCTCAACTGCTTGCTTTCTTCTAGTCTGATGAAATAAGGAACAGACAGATGTGCCTCACTTGGGGCCATCAGAAGTTAAAATACTCTTTTTCAAGGTAGTACTTTTCTTTCTTTACTTCCATTATTAATTTAACACTTAACATTAAGTACAATGTATCTGCTTTGTAATGAATAGAAATTCTTTTAAACAACATAATCCTGCCATCTTCAAAGTTATTTAGATTAAAATTCCTTTTGTTTTTTTTTAAGTCAGTCTTACTCTGTCACCCTCGGTAGAGTGCCGTGGCATCACAGCTCAGTGCAACCTCAAACTCGTAGGTTCAAGTAATCCTCTTGCTTCAGCCTCCCTAGTAGCTGGGACTATAGGCACCCACCACAGTGCTGGCTATTTTTAGAGGCAAAGTCTCACTCCTATTCAGGCTGGTCTCCAGTTCCTGAGCTCAGGCAATCCACCCACCTCAGCCTCCCAGAGTGCTAGGATTACAGGCATGAGCTCCCGTGCCCGGCCTAGATTAACTTCTATAAGAATATGACCACTTGGCCAGACACTGTGGCTCCCGCCTGTAATCCTAGCACTCTGGGAGGTCCAAGTGGGTGGATTGCCTGAGCTCACGAGTTCAAGACCAGCCTGAGCAAAAAGCAAGATCCCATCACTACTAAAAAAGAGAAAAATCTGAGGCAAGAGGATCCCCGCTTGAGCCCAGGAGTTGGAGGTTGCTGTGAGCCACAATGATGCCAAAGCACTCAACCCAGGGCAACTCTGTCTCAAAAAGAAAAAAAGACTGTGGCTACTAGCACGTGCTACAAAGAGAGCTTCAGGGGTTAATGTAGGTAGATTGGGGCAACTCTGAAGGAGTGGTTTTAGTTTGCTTTTTGAAATAGTTTATGGAAACGTTTAAACCCATAAAAGAAAAACTTCAGACAAATTAAATTTAGCAGAGTTTAACTGTACAAAGTGTGATTCGCAGATCAGCCAGCCTCCAGAGCACAGCAGGTTCATGGCCGCCGTGTGGACAGGTAGTATTTAGGAACAGGAAAAGAAAAGTGTGTACATAAGGTGAAAGTGAGGCACAGAGACAGCTGGATTGGTTATTCTGTGGATGTGGCTTGAACACTTGGCAGATTGACCAGAACTGTGTGATTGGTACGAGGTGCAAGAATAGATTAGAGTCTTTTACATGTCCGGTTAGGTTACAGATCACTCTCGAGAGAGAAACCTTTAGGTCAGACATAAAAAGTTCCCTTTAAGTTTAATTTAACAAACTAGATAGGCTCAATTTTCTAAGTGTCTGCACATAGGCACAGATGGGTAGAGTGGCATAACACTTTTTCCTGATGTGCATGTACAGTTCATTGCAGAAAAGGCAAAGGAACATTTAGATTAGCAATCAAATGGTAGAGAAGTTCTTAAACCAAGGGAAAAATCCACTGCGGTATTTCTGCCTCTTTAGAGTCACAGGAGTCTTCAGGAGCAAACACAAGCAGAGACAGACCACACACCACCTGTGTTGATGGAGAGGAGAGTGACGATGATCCCCCTGAGCACAAGCCAGCCAAACTCAAGAGGAGGTCAGTCCCACAGTACTTGTCTCTCTAGAATGTGTTAGCTTAAGCCATTTGTGTCCCTGAGTGAGTGGTAATTAATGCTTGTTAGGCTTAGGCTGGGCGTGGTGGCTCATGCCTATAATCCTAGCACTCTGGGAGCCTGGGGAGTGGGGAGAAATCACCTGAGCTCACAGGTGCAAGATCAGCCTGAGCCAGAGAGAGACCTCATCCCTAAAAATAGTCGGGCATTGTGGCGGGCACCTAAAGTCCCAGCTACTAGGGAGGCTGAGACAAGAATCACTTGAATTCAAAAGTTTGAGGTTGCTGTGAGCTATGATGCCGCAGCACTCTCCCAAGGAGGACAAAGTGAGACTCTGTCTCAAAAATAAATAAATAAATAAATGCTTGCTTTATGCATAATACTGCTAATTCTATGAGAAGAGAGGTTCTACCTGTGAGATCCTGAACTTTTAGACCCATAGGCTGGTCCTAATTCTGCCATTCACGAACTAAATACAGTTCTTAATTTCTTACCCATACCATGGGACTGATGCCTTTTTTTGTGAGATCTTTGGGTAGACTAGAGCTAGCATGTATTGTGTTGTACACTTAGTAGCTGTCAGTGGATTGTAACTTTAAATTAATGATTAGATATTCTGTATCTCTCGAGTTCTAATTTTTTCTCTAAATAGTCTGGGTATACGTTATCACAGATTCTTATTACTGAACTCTACCTGAATTTGTTGTTCTCATTGAATCGATAGTAATAGTGCTGCACACTGTGATAAGTGGCTTTGATGAGCTCAGGGTTACTGTACAGCAGCAGCAGCACTAATGTTGGAGCCTAAGCTGGGGAGTTAGTACACTAACCCTGCTCAAGCCAGTGGTCTTTGTCTTTACCACTGTGAACGCTGTAAGGTTCAGAATCGTTACTTATCAAACCATGGCAGAATGGAGCTGGGAAGCTAAGAACGGAAGGCTCTCACACTCAGTTTGCATGGTGACAGGAACTAGCACAAGAAATTTTTCTCAGCCATAGTTTTTACTGCATGAATCTCAGAAGGACCGCTTTGCACAAATACTCGCCTGACATGCTTCCTTACTGGCAGAACCCAGATAATTCCCAGGTTATAAATTCTACCTGACAGCCACTGGCACTCCCCAATCAGAGCTCACCAGCTCTTGCAAGACCCTGCCAGTGCCAGTGACTATTCTTTCTAAACAAATTGCATAACGACCTATTTCCTTAGTAAAACCCTAAACTTTTGCTTTGTTCTTGAGACATTCACAAGGCCACCTCATTTTGTACATATGTCCCAAATTTCATTCCGTTTTCACTCTTATTTCCAAATAAAACCTTTTTGGTTGGGGGGAGGTTGTTGTTGGTTTCTTTTTAGATTTGTCTCTATGGTTTTTTCCCTTGGAAGTTGACACTACCTATACATGTAATTAAACAAGGACGGGTAGCATAAGGGAGGATGTGGTCAAATGCTAATGCTGCAGAGAACAAGGAAAGTACAGAATTTGGATGTTAGTTGTAAACATTTCTGTAACAGTACATGAGGTGATCTATACACTTCTAGAAAAACAGTTAGTGAGCTCTGGAGGCTCAGTAACTTAGCACCTAAAGGCAAGCCTCGACTGTGCCCCTCTGTGTGGTAGACATTGTTAACTCCCCAGTTCTGCTAGTTCCTAGCAGTTCCTGGAGGCAAAGAGTATGTCCGTATAGGTACTCCATAAATGTTCAGTGAACATAACCTAATTGGAAGGACAAACCTTATAAGAATTGTTTCTCATTATTATTTTACTTGGAATTATGGCCCAGGTCGTCAGATTTACTAAGTTATCGCTGATAGATTAAATCTTCTGGGTTACTTCATTTCGTTTGTATCACAACCTCCTTCTTCTTTTTCTTTTCTTTTTCTTTTTTTTTTTTTTTTTGAGACAGGGTCTCACTGTGTTACCCTTGGTAGAGTGCTGTGGTGTCACAGCTCACAGCAACCTCAAACTCTCGGGCTTAAGCGATTCTCTTGCCTCAGCCTCCCAAGTAGCTGGGACTATAGGCGCCAGCCCCAACACCCAGCTATTTTTTGGTTGTAGTTGTCATTGTTGTTTAGCTAGCCCAGGCTGGGTTTGAACCCTCCTATCTCAGGGCAGTTGACCAGTACCCTACCCACTGAGCTATGGGTGCCACCTTTTTTTTTTCTTTTTTGAGGAAGTCTCACTATTGCTCAGGTGCAGCCCAGCTCACAGCAACCTCATACTACTAGGTTCAAGCCGCCATCTTGCCTTAGCCTCCCATTACAGGTGCTTGCCACAACACCTGGCTAGTTTTTCCTTTTTCTTTTCTTTTTTTTTCTTTGAGACAGAAGGTTAAGCCATCACCCTGGATAGAGTGCTGTGGCATCACAGCTCACAGCAACCTCAAACTCCTGGGCTTGAGCAATTCTCTTGCCTCAGCCTCCCGAGTAGCTGGAACTACAGGTGCCCTTCACAACACCTGGCTATTTTTTGGTTGTAGTTGTCATTGTTTGGCAGGCTTAGCCGCTTGAGCTATACGTGCCACCTCTTTTTTTTTTTTTTTTAAGATAGGGTCTTACTATGTTACCCTGGGTAGAGTGCTGTGGCATCACAACTCATAGCAACCTAAAATTCTTGGGCTTAAGCGATTCTCTTGCCTCAGCCTCCCAAACAGCTGGGACTACAGGTGCCTGCCACAATGCCCATCTATTTTTTCGTTGTAGTTGTTGTTTAGCAGGCTTAGGTTGGGTTTAAACCCGCCAGCCCCGGTGTATGTGGCCTGCGCCCCAGCCTGGCTATTTTTTCTATTTTTAGTAGAGATAGTTGCTCAGACTGGTTTTGAACTCCTGAGGTGAGCTCAAGCAATCCACCCTCCTCGGTCTCTCAGAGTGTTAAGATTACAGGCATGAACCACCATGTACCTGGCCCAACCTTATTAGTACTTTTTAAATTATTTTGATTGGATTGATAATTATCAAATGCTTCCTTGTTTGTTTTTAAGAGAAACCTGTGGAGAGATCACTCTGAGAGATTAATTTTAAGGCTGAAGCTTTTACTGGTATCTTTCAAAAGGATATTGTAGCAATTCCCATTTGAACCATGTTCCAGGAGTAGAAATAAATCATATGTTTCAAGGCTTGAGTGCTTATTACTATGTTGGGTACTTTGTCTGCTTTAGAAAATCATGATAAAAGTACACCTCTTGACTTCCTGGATTTGTGAAGTACGGTTGATAACTGTGATGGGAAAGTTTGTATAGATTGATTATGCTACATTATTACCTTTTGATATTTGCCTGAACTGATGGGTAATGAAGATAATGACTATTTGCCTTTTGTTTATTTGTTTAGCCATGAACTGGACATTGATGAAATCCCAGATCCAGACTTTGATGACAGTGGTTCCCTTCTAGGATTCAAGCATGGCTCAGGACAGAAGTAATTATTCATAAAAACTATTGTGTCCCAGAAATCCTAACTACTTCAGCTGTCTTAAAGCTCTCTAGTATTTAGATAGTAATAAATGATAATGTATTTGATAGCATTTGAGATATTATAGTTACTTCTCTTGTTAGTAGAATTATTAGAGTTATTAGTTAGAATTATTAGTAGAGTTATCACTGTACATTTGATTTATTGACATATATTAATTCAGTTGCACTTCATAGCAATCCAGTGTGATTCCATTTCAGAGATAAAACAGCTACAGTTCAGAGGTTTTGACTTGGTCAAGATCAATCCCATCGTTTACTGGAGAGGTTTATGCCAGCCTCCTGTGACTTCCAAGCATGGTTCTCACATAGTGTCTCACATATCCATCCCTGTGCGCATCTGGAGACCATAGCAAACATACCATGAAAAGGTCAAATCAGCAATAAACAAAACAATAAGTTAAAAGTGAAAATCTTTCTTTCACATCATTCCCATACGCAGGCGTCATTTGATGAGTTTGGCATGTCATTCTGAATTTTACTTATGTGTTTTTGTAACTATGTACATGTACACACGTTACTTTTCATAAAACACAAAACCGAATCAGACTGTACCTACTGTACAGCTTGCATGTCTTCCCTCAGCCGTATCATGGATCATCCTCCTTGTCAGCACATACATTGACCTAATCCTTTCAACGGGGACATTGTGTTTATTTAATCATCCTGACTAACAGCATCTAAGGTGTTACCTACCGAAGCTCTGAGCATAACACCCTGGAGGTGCCTCCCGTTTATTGGCATATGCCAATCTTTCTTCCCAAACCTGTTCAACCTTTCATCTACCAAAGAGCATTTGGATGATTCATCGTATTTTATCATCATAAATAAAGCTGTTGTGAACATGTGTATAGGAAACCCAAGTTTTCCCAGTAGGTAATTGTATAAGAACAACTGGAGGTTGTATGACATGAAGACTGAACTAAGTAGGTAAGGCACACTAACAGAATCTTGTACCAAGACTCTAAACTCAGACTAATGTCTAAGGGTTGAGAGCTGAGATCTTACTTGCCTATTTTGTAAGTTGAGAAATCTGTTTAGACACCTACACATTTATAAAGTCAGCAAAGAAAAAGGGTATGGGGAGTGTGTCAAGATTGACTGATAAATTGAATTCAAATTAGTTCAGATGTATATGCTAATAATTATATATGTTGTAGTTTCTAAAAATTATCCTTATCTCTCCTTTATAAGGCAGTTGTAGTTTATATAATCATTTAAGACTAAAGATTGTAAATTTAACAATGTAGGAGGTTTTTAAATTCCTGGCAGAAGCCAGGTGCGGTGGCTCACGCCTATAATCCTAGCACTTGGGAGGCCGAGGCAGGTGGATTGCCTGAGCTCAGGAGTTCAAGACCAGCCTGAGCCAGAGTGAGACCTCATTTCTAAAAAAATAGTTGGGCATTGTGGGGGGCACTTGTAGTCCCAGCTACTTGGGATGCTGAGTAAGAGAATCGCTTAAGCCCAAGAGTTTGAGGTTGCTGTGAGCTGATGCCATGGCACTCTACCAAGGGTGACAGAGTGAGACACTGTTGCAAAAAAAAAAAGTAAAAGAAAAGAATATATTTACTGTGCTTTGAACTTCTAAGTTCTTTTCTTTAAAAATTTTTGTGCACACCTAAGATCATCTGATGGCACACTGGTTTAAATCACTGGCCTAGAGGAATTGTGTCCTCAGCCTCTTCAGGGCTGACCAG